GTTGGATCGGCCGACCTGGGAAAAGTTCAGGGTGTTCTTGGCATGAGCCAGCAGGCCCGCGGCCTTACTTTGAACACCGCTGGCACGGCGCTTCTTATCCGCAGCGCCATCTTGCTGCCGTCCCGGGGGACTGCTGTTTCCGCTCCGTTTGTCGCCGCTGGCGGCCTGGTCGTTTGACTTAAGGGAGGCTGAGGCGCCCTTGTCGGATTCGGGCGAAGGCGACTTGCGGTCCTCTTTTGGGTCGCTCTCCGCCTTGGACGCAGCCGAGTTAGAGCCGCCGCCGAACATTCTAGTCAGCAGACCACTCCCCTGGTTGGAGAGGCTGCGACGCTTGCTTCCTGCCAGTTTAAAGAACCTCGAAAAGACGTCAGAGGGACCGGTCCACACGCAGGGTCAATCGAGTTCGATGGGGTCGCAGTGAAGCTGTCTTCGTTGGATGCGTTTTGGATTTCGGAGAAGGATTGTCGCGAAGATGGATGTCTGATAAAGGTATCGTCAGTATTAGGTGAAGAGGTTGGAGAGAACGGTCGTCGGGCCCATGGAGGGGCAGAATGGTCCGAGGCCGACCGGGGGCTAGGCAGAGGGTCGGGTCCGAGCTGAGGAGGATTGATGCATAGGTAAGACGAAAGGAGCCAAGAGAGGAAGAGACGCTGGTCTCTGAGCGGCAGGCGGTATGGCGACCAAGTGCGCCAGCTAGCGGCTATGTGACTGACGTCTAATATCAAGATGGCGCAGGTAGGTATGTGCTCTGCGAGACTCGTAGCGCAACCAGATGCTCAAAAAGTGCTGCGCGCAGCCCGCAAAAGAAGGGTTTGATGAAGATACGGGAACAAGCAGATATCAACAGCGGGATGTATGATGTTTGTGTGTCCAGTTGGCCTGGGGTGACAAGTGACGTAGGCTGGCTGAATGATGGTGGAGGGGAAACCAGAAGGGTAGAAGCAGCAGTAACTCACCAGAGTGACGTACCCAGCGATTCGGAGTGCCGGCACGACGTGGTTGAAGCTGATATTGATGGCGAGATAGAGACGCCGAGGGTGCAGTTTGAAGATTGCCGGGTGTGATGGCAAAGGCTGCAATATCGTCTAGGAGGGGAGGAGATGGCAGGTTGTTGGTGTTGCGTGAACAAGGTAATGCAATGATGGTGGGCGGCAGAGAGAAAGAGAGTTGAGGTTGTGGAAAGGCGATGCGAAATGCTGCCCGCTTGGTGCTGGTAAGTGTCTCCGCAGCAGCCTACCTAGGAGGGGGAGGGGATGGGAGGGGCACGGGGAGGGCAGAGGCCAGAGTTGGACGGTTTGGAGGGACCGGGAAGGGGGGAAGGTGAAAAGCGAAAGCGGCGGGAACGATTCACAGGGTCCCGTCCTTCCATTCTTAGCGGCGCTTAATACCTGTTCTCCGCTCTCCGTTATGGGGGCCTTTCTTCCCTGGCCTGAGCTTCTCACTCTTGTTCTCACCACCCAAATCCCTATATAGGTATCGCAGCAGCTGAAGATAGTCTGAAACTTAATGCTGTCCAACACCTAAAATATTCACCGAGGGTGAGGCAGATGCGCAGTTTGGTAAGTTGACAGGCACAGCCTTTAACATTGAAGAGGGGAAAATAGGTATAGAGTTGTGTGACCACACAGGCGACGCAAGTTGTGTACCTCAGCACCTCAGTGATGAACAACACCAACTGGGGGGCGGCGAGCTCCACTCGGGCCGTAGTGTACGCAGTAGTGTACTGCCGCCTGCGTTGTCAAGTCTCACTTGAGGCGGTGATGACCTGCGTCAGGTCGGGAGGTGAGGCGAGACGAAGCGAGGCGAGTGTCCGTGTGTGTAGTGTCCGACGGGAAACTGGATCTGAATCTGGATCCCTCCCCAAGCCAAGAAACAAAGGGCACGCCGGGAGTTTCGACTGTTCTTGTGAGATGTGTCTGATATTTGGATAGTAAGTCCTTGGCTAAACCGACGGGCATATGCTTCGGAGTATCTGCAGGGACAGAGAGGGGATGAAATAGAGCAATATGAGCACTAAGTTAGTCTCATGCGCCCTGCGAAATACACTCTTCTCACTGATTCCAACTACCTACCTATTCCATCTATCTCTGTCCAAAGTGACGAGTGTGGTCTCGATCTCAAAGTGGACTACTGACCTCACTCCAACGCCCACCCAATGGGAATGCTAGGTCAAAATCGGCGTTTCTCTCGCCGATCACCAGCGCCAAAGTACCGAATCACTTTGCGTTCTCGTCATCCTGCTAGGTAAGCATCGACCGCATCATTTTTCAAACGTCTTTCGGTCTATCAGGTGTAGAAACAATAATCATGTATCTAGGTTCGCATGGCTGGGCGACCCATGTGACGCATAAACGAACAGGCTCAATCTAGGCTCTCACTCATACCACACATGAGAAACACACTGCCATTGCGTTTTTCAATGCGCATATGCCATGCCAGAGATACGATGAATAGTATTGAACAGAACATGGCACGCTGGCTGGAGTGTAAGACGACCCTCGGCCGAAAGCCAATATGTGCGGCTAAGCCACTCCGTAACCCGACCCAATCTAGAATATGTTGGCTGCCCCAAACGCAAGTTGCTGTGGCAAGAGAAAGTCATGATCAAGCTTGTTTACAACACAGACAAGGACGGCATATGATAGTATTGCGTGGTCCACCTCGACATTATGGACCGAGGGCGGATGTGCCTTTGCTGGTCACGACGTGTTGGCGTGACAGCTCAACTGGCATATGAACCCTGCCGATCAAGCGGGGCGTGTAGGGGTACCCGCTTAAGCTATCGATCAAGCGCCCATCTATATCCTGCTCCATGGAACCTCATAGGCACAAGCTCACAAACAACCTGTTATTGTGAGAAATCAGGGTCCGTTGGGGGCCCATTTCGCTGGGTTGGGCTGGCCTGGAAAATGTAGATTACCTTGGAGATATCCGATGGCCCACATGTGCTTGCACAGCACTACACTAACAGAATCGCTGACTCGAGTCATCAGTGCCGCCGACATGGCATTCTGCGAGTGGTAGATTCGTGTGGTTGCTTTAATGCAACGATTTGCCTGGATCCTCACCTTCACCACGACAAGCGACTCTCATTTGTCTTGCATGCTAAGTAGATACTCGGGATAAACCTATGTGCATCAGATGAACCGTGGAGGCGACACCCAAGCATGAGGGATGACCATTTTCAGCACACAGGAGGGGCCGGCACTGGGTGCAGACGAATAACGCAATGTTCCGATGTCACCTCCCAAACAGCATTTCACGGCTCGTTCACGGCGACTCCCATTGAAGTAGACGTATTGTGAAGTAGACGTATTGCATATTTAGAGCCTTGCCCGAGAAAAAGTTCGCCTTCCCTTATCCTGGAACGCCGTTCCACATGTGACAAAACAAACTGGCTGCTCCGTTACCTCCCTCATACATCGCTGTCGTCCGCAAAATATCGTCATCACTCCACCAGACCCTCCATTGTTGTCATTACCGCCGAAGACTGTCCAGGCGGGCCTGAAGGTCGTCGTCGCCGGGATCCGCACCTCCACCTCCACCACCTCCAACTGCTTGGGCAATTCTGCCTTCGGGGACGGCTGCAGTTTGCATCCCGGACGGTGTTTCGCCCAGCTGCACAGTCTATCGTTAGCTGTTGAACCGCCAATGTCTGGATGGGGGTACTTACCGCTGATGTCAAGTCAACTCCAATCTCTTCCAGGACTTGCTCGACAACTTCCTCGCCTTCCTCCTCGGCACCAACATCCATAGCATCATCCATAACGTCGTCCATCATCTCTTGTCTCTGGTCCATAATGTCGTTCTCGCGCTCAAACTCCATTGCGATGCGCTGAAGAGCGGGGAGGTTCATCGATCGGTTCATGGTGCCAAGAGCTTGGGTTGCGCCCTTCATGGCCGTCATCATTTGTTCGTTGGTGCGGTATGTCTGTAAGATGAAGTGTCAGCTAAAGTTTACGAGCCCCAGTGACCGGTTGTGTAATACCTGAAGCCGGAGAGAGATCTTTTGCAGTTGACTGCGCATGCCGTAGAACTTTTCAATGTACCTGCAATGACAGTTAGCCGGTTTGTGCGCCGTATACCCATCGGCTTTGTGACTCCTTGCCTTCTTGTCCGGACCAAATCCTTGGCCTGGATCTTGCAGGCGCCCATCTGTCCCTTCTGAGCACTTTGCTTGATCTGGGTAATCAACTGCTTCTCCTGCTTCTCCAACTTGGTTCGGACCTGATCCAATTCTCGAATCGCCTTATCAAGCATGCGCTGATTCTTGCGCAGACGCTCCGCTGGCGTCATTCGCTTGCCGAACGCCCATTCCAGAATCTAGGCCACAGGGTTAGTGGTCGGTCGAGTCGCGGCGGGGAAAGGTGCGCGCAGCATACATTCATCGTGGCGGCTGGGAACAATCGTTTCCGAGCGGATGAAGCGTCGTGTATCAGAGTGGCAACAGGAAGGCACTCAAGAGATCGATGGTAGCGATTGTGTAGCTATCGTGGAGAGGAGTTGATAGTGGAGGTTGATTGATATTCGGGTTGCCTGGCACTCACGTAACAGGCAAGGGTACGTACAACAGCTTGGCACAGCGTCAGGTAACTTCCAAGGAAACCACAGGTGAGTGGTGAGCGCTGCTCAGATCGGTTGCGCTGACCCGCTGAAAGGTCCGACCAGGTTCCAACTTCCCACCTGGGGGGAAGTGATTAGATAAGGAATGGAAGCGTGGCAGCCCGGCCTCGGATGGCGGCGGCATTTTCCGACTCGAAGTTTTGAGCCAATGGGCGAAGCGCCGCGACAAAGGGTGGTGGGAAATTTGCCGCTCCGCCCAAAATCATGCGCTGAGAGTTCCATTCATGTACGGAGTACATGACGAGCTTCCCTAAAAAACATTCTCGACTTGCTACGCTAAAACCTCGTCGCCTCCCAAACAAATCCCCTTTCTTCCCGTCCTCTAACCCACCTGATTGTTTCTCGACCATGCTGCTTCAACCCTCGACCGACCGAAAATGAGCCAAGATTATTTTTCAAAGAAGGGCAAGGCCCCCATGGACCAGGAGATTGAGAAGGACGACAACGACGCGCCTTACCAACCAGTGCCGTCATCGAGCAGGCCACCGCAATTCATGACCGTTGGATCCGGCTCCACCTCTGCACATGCAGCGCATCTCCAGTCACTACTCGAAAACGATTCTGGCTACGGCGGCAGTATCGCGGACGGCGACGCCATGACTTCCTCCGGCGACCGACACATTCCGACTCCTGTCAATGGCCAGCTCTCCGAAGCTGACCGGCGCAGTCAGGCCGGCGCTATCCACCAGCTGTGGTACAATGCCCACAGGGTGACGCTGGGTCGCTCCATCAACAAGGTCATTGAGCTCCTCAAGGAGTTGCAAGAGATGAACGTGTCCTGGCCAGCCCACTATCCATCTGTCCAGCGAGCCGAGGGAGCCCGCCCTGCCCCTTCACACTCATATTCGACCATCGGCGAAGCCCCCGCGTCGACATCCGCCTCGTCCGTTCCGTCTTCTCCGACCGCTCCCCCATCCTTACGACGATCCTTCACATCGCTAGAAGCGCGCGAGAGTGCCGAGTCGAGCCGTGCACAGGAAAGACGGGCGCCAGAAGAGCCACGACTCGTCACACCTCAAATTGCCCAGGACTTCTCGGTCCTCAAACTGGATCTCAAGCTGGGCTCGCTTCACCAGGCAGAGCTTGTCCACTCTTTGGAGAAGGGGTCCATCGCCTCCCTTTTGGATGGCAAGATCAGTTCCAGCGTTCGACACCTGCTCAACCTCCGTGAACGGATCGAAGATACTTCCAGCAAAGTCTTGATCACTGGTGATCTGAATGCCGGCAAATCGACCTTCTGCAATGCTCTGCTTCGAAGAAAGGTCCTTCCCGAGGATCAACAACCCTGCACGGCAATCTTTTGCGAGGTTCTGGATGCAAGGGAGAATGGAGGCCTCGAGGAGGTGCATGCCGTTCACAAGGACGCCGACTATGACCGCCATAACGAGACCACATACGACGTTTACAAGCTGGCGCAGCTCGAGGAGCTCGTAGTGGACAACGAGAAATACACCCAATGCAAGGTCTACGTCAAGGATGTACGAACCATTGACGAGTCTCTGCTCAACAATGGTGTGGTTGATATCGCTTTGATCGATGCCCCGGGTCTCAACTCTGATACAACCAAAACGACGGCCGTCTTCGCCCGACAGGAGGAGATCGATGTCGTTGTCTTCGTGGTATCAGCTGCCAACCATTTCACTATGACGGCCAAGGAATTCATCTGGGCAGCAGCTGCTGAGAAGGCTTACTTGTTCATTGTGGTGAACGGTTATGACAACATCAGAGACAAGAATAGGTGTCAGAAGATGATCCTCGACCAGGTCCACGGGCTGAGCCCGAGAACGCACAAGGAATCAAATGAGCTGGTTCACTTCGTCTCGAGTAATGCCGTTCCTACAGCTCCTGCGCCACCAGGCGGGCCGTCTGGTGGGGGCAGCGGCGGAGGCGGTGGTGACGACCCTGGTGACGATCCTAAGGGCAAAGGCAAGGACGTTGAGAAGATCCGAGACTTTGAGAACCTCGAGCAATCGTTGCGGAGATTCGTTCTCGAGAAGCGCGCCAGATCCAAGCTGGCACCGGCAAAGACTTACCTGCTCAACATTTTGAACGACGTTCACGTTCTTGCCAACGTCAACTCAGAGGTTGCAAACTCCGAACTTGATCGTGTCGTCAAGGAGCTCAAGGAGATCGAGCCCCAGCTCGAATCCAGCAGAAAGGCCACGGCGCAGGTTGGCGATGAGATTGACAAGATCACCGAAGGGACATGCAAGGAGGTCTACGACTACACGCGGACCACTCTCAGCACGGCTATCGATCATGCTGGGGACAACAACCACGGCGTTCCTTACCGGGGCATCTTCAATGCCTTCGAGTACGCAGAGGAATTGAAGGAGGCCATGATGTCCTACATCCATGAGTCAGTTGTTGCCTGCGAGGAACACGCAAAGACCAAGACGGTCGGTGGCGTGAACGCCATTAAGCAGCTCGGCATTATGCATCTTGGCGACGACTACCAGAGCCTGGTGTTCCGGCCCGACGTCATGTTCAAGAGAAAGCGCGACTCCATGGCACGTAATGTCGACGTCCCCACTGAACTCTGGGATTTTGTCGACTGGCACACCATCGTCCAGAAGCAGGAGAAGGTGGCAGGCACGGGAATGGCTCTCACCGTTGCGGGAGCTCTCGTTCCTCGCATGATGGGTTCCAGCGGCTGGTTGGACCATGCGTTGAGCGCAGCGAAGATTATGGGCAACGACAACTTGCGTCGCCTCATTGTCCCCGCCATCGTTGCAGCTTGTAAGTTTTTCGAATCTCGTTCTTTGCTAGTAGCAGACGAAGCTAACGTCAAAACCCCTTTCAGCATTCGCAGCCGCCGCCTACATCCTCAACCAGATCCCTAACTCTCTACCCCATCGGCTTTCCACCAAGATTGCGGCTCAACTGGAGGCAGTCGACTACGTGCACACCAACTCGACGCGCATCTCGGGCTCAGTCCGCAAGGTTCTCCGCTTCCCTGCTGACAACCTCCGCGTCGGCCTCGAGCAGTCCGTCAAGGACCTCGGCAAGCGCCGCGAGGAGACGCTCAAGGTCCGCCAGGAGAGCGAGGTCGCGCTAAAGTACTTTGGCAACCTCGTCCGCAACAGCGCGCAGCAGAGGACCGTCGTCGAGGGCGTCGACCTGGATGCCCCGCCGCCGGGCGCCGTCGGTGCCGGCCTTCACTGAAAAGAAAGAATGAAAGAAAGAAAAGGACAAGAGCAAGAAAAGAACAATACCCATCTCAATTCCTTGTTTAATGTGGCACAAACTATACCTTACGATAGCATGGAAAAAACGGCGTTTAATTATCCGGTGATTCGAACACTGGGCCTTCCCTCTCGATGTATACCTGAGTTTATATCCCTCCCCCTTTTGCCCTCATGGACTTTTTTTCCGTTTCCTTTCACAAAAGTGTGCTGTTGAGAGCACATCACGATAGGCATGTACGTAGACGCAAAGACAACCTAATTCTCGATACACTTATTGAAACCGTGACTACGTTTCTCAGAGACCCGGAGTTGAGTTTCGATGGCAGAATGCTCATCAGATGCAAGCACTTACAGTATGGAGGATGGAACTCCAGTCCGAATGGTGTATATCAGCTTCAGCTCGGGCCCCAAATCCGAATATGCATCGACGGGCTGATCGGCGGCGGCGGCGGCGGCAAACCTTTGCGCGGTCCAAGGTCAAGTGTCACGGGGGAGAACATGAGGTGTGTTCCGTACAAGATATGTAATCTCCCTACTCCCTCCACTTGCTTACGTAGTGTATGGGCCGTTCAACGCTGCCGAGGCACCGTTCATACCCGGAGCTGTGAACCGGAGCCAGCTAGCGCCGGGGTGCCGCTGGGCCGTTGGGTTATTGGGCCATATTGGATTCCGTTCTCCTGAGAGAGAGATTCCCTCAATGTTTCCTCACCCCATAATGCGGATAACGTTCTTTCGAAGAAGATCTGAGATTAAATTCTACAGCAGCGGTGGAGCCTGCAGGTATCTGTAGCTTCTGGGTGCTGGGATGACGTCTCCGCAGCTATCCGTACCCATGTTGATCCATTGAAAATTTTAGATGAACGCCTCGATTTACGAGATACTGAGGGGTTCGCCTACGGACACATGAATGAAATCTCGTTCACTGTTTAACTCTATCGTTTTGTATTACTAGAGGATTGCCGTAGTATATAGACGCTACCCTACTCTCGAATTCCGCACTATTTAACCTTAACCCTTTTTATAAATTACCTATTTTTTCTTTTATTCTACCCTCTTTCTTATTAAAAAATTATTAAAATCGTAGTTTTAATAGCTTATTAATAAACTAATATTACTATTTAAAAATAAATAACTTATACTTATATATAAATACTAAAAGTCTTATTATTATAAAAATAATAATAAATATATTAAAATACTTAAGAGAGCTTTTTAATAAATTTTTAATATTATTTAAAATAATAATCTTTAAATTATAAAAAAAAGCTAAAGTACTACATTAATATAGCCTTATCTATTTTATTAATATTAATAATACCCTTTTTAATATAAAATATATTAATAATATTTTATAGCTATATTATTATATTTTATAAATCGTACTTAACGTTAATAAGAATGTTAATATTATTTTTCAATTCGTTTCTTAGTTTTTTTTATTAAGGCTATTATTATAAAATTAATTTAATTATTAATATTTTAATAAATATTTTAATTTAACTTAGAGGCTTTTATAATTTTTAAAAAGAGGCTTTTAAAGAACTTATAATTAGACTTTTTATTTATTATAAATAAAACTATTATAATTAAAACTATAGCGTTATAAACCTCGATAATAAATAATTAGTAATATAATTATTTTTTTTTATAATAAGCTTAAAAAAGTATTTTAATTTAAATACTAAATAAGTATTATACTATTTTATTAAAACTATATTCTTATACTTATAACTTAAAAAGAATTAACTTTTTTTAATAATAAGGTACTTAGAATGAAATCTCGTTCATGTGACGAGGTTCATCCAACTTGCAATGAACCAAGACGGCATGCCGGGAAACTCGAGGACTCGCTCCGCTTTGACCGCGCTGCTTTCAAGTGATGAAATCGGGGGTTTAAGCATTACCGGACTTGGATGAGAGGGCGGGGGAATATGCACGCTGCATGTTGCACGCTTGCATTACGGATATGTACTTCGTACCTTACCTTCTACTGCACGCTAGGAGCTGCAGGCACTTTATCTGAGGTTTGAGAGGTCTGGGCCTTACACTACGTAGAACGGTAGCAAAGTTTCCCGGTGCTGCCGCTGGAGCTGGGACTCTGAGTGTTGAGGTCCGCAATACGGAGTACATTGGCCAGATTTGCGATGTGATGGGACGAGAGAGATCGGAGGTTAATATGAGCTGCATCGTCCGAAACAATGACAAATGCTACTGAGGACGGATAACATGCACTTGCAGAGGAGGACCCCTACCGTTGCCCCTCTTTTTCGCTGAACAACGGAACTTCTAGAAAAATGCATAGCGAACTTAGTAGAGGTAGGAAACGAGTCCGAGAAGAGACGTTTGGTGAGAGACCCACGCGTTCGAACGGCTGGTACGGGACCAGTCTCTGGGTAGTGGGAGGAAACGGCAGCGAGAAATTGGGGTGAGAGATTATTCTCAAGCTTGGGGGGACGGCTCTCTATGGTGGTGATTCGGCGAACTTTTTTGATTTGACTCTCATTTCCGCACCTGGGCTTCTTTGGCAAGCAGCCCGTTGTGGGTTCGACGACGGTCATAGCGCATGGCCGAACCGCCGGTGGAGTTACGGTGTACACTAAGATTCGTTGACTGCTTATCCCATTGCGCCATGCGTGTGCTGAGAAACGTCAAACATTGTGGCTTTCGGAAGAATGATCTTGCTGGCACTGGCGATGGCCATTGTTGATGGTCAGTAATTCGCGCACGTGAGAGTGGTTGAACCAGATGTCGTTGGAGCAAGACTCGGAGAGCCTTTCTGCCACCTCCACTTGGCAGCCCATGGAGTCGGGAATCAGCCAGGGTGGCATCATTCAGTGTTCACGTCAAGCCGTGGGAATTTGGCTCAGAGTTTTGCTAAAGTCAGAAAGCTAGGGTCGATCATGTGGTGGCGGGATACGGAGATCATTCCGACGGGACGAACTCTGCTCATCCCCCCCATGGTGCTATTCTTGAACCTGAGTCGTGGCGGGTGTAAGTGGTCGTTCGTCATTATTGTTCCTTTGGCCGTTGAGGTTGGAGGAATGTGAACGTTGCGTATGTCGAGTCCCAAAATATGACACTAACCACTTGTTTGACTTGAGTGAATGGATGGTTCAAAACAACAGCATCCCCCGGAACCTATTCGTCGCATGTCGTCCAACTTGCGACGCAGACATGTTGAAGCAGTTTCAATATCCCGTGTATATTGAGTTCTCCGATTCGTCGAGAGTCGATCCTGTAGCCAATGTCCAGTCAGCGTGGCGTGCAAGTGCAGCCTACTCAGGTTCCGGGACTCCGGCGGCAGCATTGGACGTTTCATTGCCCTTGCTCCCCCGGACCTGCCACGTTCTGCCCGCCCGCCTAGCTGGTGTCTTTCTTTCTTTCTCTCTCTCTTTTTGTGTCTTGTCACTTCGTGCCTTGACCGGTGTCTTGACCTGACTCTTTCTGACCTTTCTCGGCACGGTTGTCGCGTCCAAAATAGTGTCGAGAGGAACTTACGTGGGCTGACGGCGAATGACAAGATGGCGTCGCTTTGTTCCCCCTTAGCAAGCTTTCCAGTAGCGGCAAAGGGTGGCGTAACATGATGGTGGAGGATTAGGGGGCACTGGAATGGAGTGTTTTGTTTGGTCGTTCAACGGCGAAGAAAAAAGACAAAACGGTTCTCGTTGAATTCTTAGGTAAATCGTGACCGTAGCTTGGAAGCCCCTTCCTTTCAGTTTCACCGCTCTAGTTCCTAGTAGGCATCAGTTCGTGGCTAATGAGATGCAGAGAAGGGTGTCTGTTGGAGAGGCCAACATCAACAGAGTTTCTTTGGGCCAGCGATCAGTCCGAATTAGAAGGCTTGGAAGGGACCGATTTGCTGCAGGACGCAGATGCCCCGTGCTCTGCCTCCGTGCCTCTCCACCGGGATGGATGGTGGTCTGTGTTGTACTACTCAAGCGGCAGTCCCAGCGATTCCAGGGTGCGTTGCAGACGATTGGAAGCAGAGGATTGGCTGAGGGGATTGTCATCATGGTTGTTGGAACTTGGTTGGTGGTCGTCCGTCTCCCTTGGTCTTGTTCTAAAGAATTCCCGTTCTTTTCCCCCTTATTAAGGACGTCTGCTGCGTAGACCAAAAAACGATTCCATTCTCGCCCTAAGCCCGCAGACGAGACCCCAAAAGGGAGAAGATCCAGGGGGGGCCCGAGAGCAGCCGGCGCGAGGTGCTTTAGCTTTAAGCTGTATCTGCAGGACCAGTGCGGGTGAGAATAGGTGGTTTAAAGATGGTGGTTGGTTGGAAGTGGTGGGTTCGAGATGAAGTCCAGCGACGATGAGCAGAGGGGAGAAGTCAAAAGTCATCCCTTTGATGCTTAACTAAGCCAATTGGAGTTGGCGAGGAAGGAGACACTTTCTGTTTGGTCCCTTCCAAAATAATCCATTTATGATTTGGTGCCTTCCGTTGTCAAACCCGGTCTTTCAGGCAGGCATGGACCCGTTGCGGATACCTTCCCTTACTGTGTAGACGGTACGTAGTAGACCCCAATCGGCCCTCCCCTGCCAGTCAGAGACACAAAGTTGGGGTTCCCTTCCATTTCGACGAGACTTCCATGACAAGCAAAAGAAGTTCCCGACTGTCGCCTCTTTCTCTCCTATCCGCCCCCCCTTTTCTTCCCGCTCCGTAATACTTTTTCTGCTGTCAACTTATGCGTGTCTTCCAAGCGCAATACTGCGTATCTTCAGCTTGCGACCTTTGCGACTTGGATACATCTCTACACCTAAACTACTTTTTTCTTCTCTCTTCTTTATCCTTATCTCTCTTCCTGTGCCCACCCTACCTTACCTTACTTTCTTTTGGGCCCCTTGTTGTCCTCGACCCTTCAGACCCTTAGCTCTTTAGTCGTACTAGTCCCATCCAATTCTTCATTTACGCCTCTCTTCACGGTACTCTATCCGTACTGCCCTTGCCACGGTCCAGCCGTAATTACACCTTCTCTCCAT